TCAAGACTTATGAAAAGTTATTAAGTCCACCTCGCCCTCAAAACACACAAACAATCAAAAACTTTACTTTCTCGTCAATTGAAACAATATGAGGACACTAAACCAATATAATATAGGCCGAAACCTATTGAGCCCAAGAAAGCCGAAAATTAAAAAAATTAAGGCTAATAAGAAGTCCACTCACTCTGAAATCACAGACACGCACACACAGACTTGTTTCGTTCGTCAAAAAACACAATAAGAGTCCAATAAGCCGATATAATATAGGCCGAAACCTATGATATCGAAAAAACAACAATTCAAAAAATGTTGTCATGAAAAACTATCATTTCTTTTAAGATTTTTAGCATTTTCAGCAACCCAGAGGTGAGAACAAAATAAATATTTCCCTTGAAACGACTCGAACTCAGTTTATTCGGCCGCTAAAAAACAGGTCGATATCAATTGGATAGCATAAAGTTTTTAAGCAAAAAAAAAACAAAACAGATAAAATGTACGAAGTTCCGGTTGCGCAGAAAAGAGATTTGTTTTTTGGTGATCGTGTAGAATTCCAGATATTTTAAATGTTCAATGTATTGTCAATCAAAATAGGCGGATGGATGGGTCTTTCAATTTGCATGAGATTGTTTAAAAAATGAGAAAACTTGGCCAGTTTTTTGTTGACACAGTGTGGTTTATGAAATGTCAAAAACATTTCAGAAGGTAAAACTCTTTTAGTTTGTTTCTCAACAAGTGGGGCTGCGCCAAATTTACGACAGGCAAGATATAAATATTGATACAAAAGAAGCTAGATCAAGAAGCTAGATCTCGCGCAAACAGAACTTGGAAACCACGCATGATACACAGATATCTCAGAATTGTAGTTTTGACTTAGAAAACCGAGAAAAATCTTATGGACTTAAAGGTAAACTTAGAAAGCCAAAAAATATGCATCAAAACAAAACCTATGAAGCTCTAAAAAAAGAAAAGGTGACAATTCTTCAGCAGAAACCAGTTGAGATAAAAAAATGTTTTCATAACACTTTTAAAGGCCTCACTCAACTGACTCAGACGCATAAGAAAATTTCGCTCATCAAACAAAGAAATAGGAGACCATTAAGCCGATACATCAGCCGAAAACATTAAAACCTAATAAAACAAAACAAAAGAACCAAAATTGTACCAAACCTTTTTGAAAAAATTTTGAGTAGAACAGGTGTTTAGAATGCAGACATGATCAAAATAAATCTGTTGGTGGAAGAAAAAAAGTAGACCGGTGGTTGACGAAATTCTGAATAATTTTCTCAAATCTGTTTGACAAGTTGTTAATATAAAAAACATTATGTCCAGACTTAAAAACGCTGGTAATCGCGCACTTAATAATCGCCTGCGTTATAACTATGTGCAGTCTACCTCAGCAGATCAAAACCTCAGAACAATTCAAAATACTTTTTTAAATTCAAGAAGTACAGAAAAATTACCGCAAAGAATTTGAGACTCAATTACCTCGACCATTGAACCTTTAGAAAGGGCATTCGAATTGTATAAAAAACGATAAACCTGCAAAAAATTCTGTATAATGAGAACTAAGCTGACAAAAAAAAACAGAGGGAGGAGATGGTCGAAAAAGCACAGAGCAGACCTGCCACATGGACTGGATTTCCAAGCCTTTGTTGTCAATAGCATGGATGTCTATAAGCCAGATGCACTGAATAGTTGAATTTAATATAGAGCAAGTTGAAACACCTGTAACATTTTCAAGTGCAATGTCTGACCCAGAAGCGAAGCGGAGGGTGCTTTCAATGTTACAGGATAAAATCGAATTTTTGAAACAAAAAATCTAGTTTGAAAAGGAGAAAAATTAACAAGCGGTAGTAAGCCGAAGCTATCTGAGCAGAAACTCTTTAAGCCGAAAAAAAAATTGATAGAAATTAAAATTCCCCTAACTTAAATTTAACCGGTATAAATAAAACCAAATTAACAGCAGAAAGCCAAAAAAATTGCCATGCTTCTTTTTACAATCTTTTCTGAGTTAAGACTTGAGCTTAAAATTTTTTACCCTATAAGAAAAACTTTCAAGGGAAAACACAGGGAAATGAACTAGTAGATCTAAAAAGCTTCAGGAGTAAATAACAAACACTTGCAACAACAATGAAAACAAAACAAAACCCCGCCGGATTCGAATCTGTGATCTTTGCTCTATCAGGCGTTAAAAACTTGTTAAACAAGTTGTTAACCAGCAAAAATCCTAAATTCCGATACCAAAATTCCATTAAATTTGATATTTGACTTAAAGCTCGGGCTTTTCAGTGACAAAGAACGCTGCCACGTAAAACAATTTAATCGTAAAAAGACAAAAATAATTCTTTCGAATGATCATTTTTTTAAATTTCAAAACCTCTTTCTTGTAAAAGACGATATTTTTGAGAGGTGTCTTCATTGAAAAATCAAGGACGAAAAAGAAGAAAATAAGATGAAAGTAAAAATAATACCAAGCATCATACAGCCCGCCATCAATTGTGGTAGAATTATAAGGTTACTATACGGTTATTAGTCACTCCAAATACAACAAAAAAAAGTATTTGAAAAAATCTTATTACTTCAAAATACTAAATTTGTCAATACTTCACCTGAAACTCCAATGAACACCCTAAGAATGAGAAGTGTATCAGAAAAATAGTTAGTAAAAAATTCTGAACCTTTCTGCATTAAAAAAATTAGAAACACGAGAAGCCGGTTGCTGTGCAAGTAGCACAGAAAATTCAAACACGAAGAAAATAAGTTAAGTTTCTTGCTTACTGTGTTGAGAGAAAAAATAAGCTTAAGACGTTAGTAAATTAGGCATAAATGACTAGTGGTATTCGAAAAATCCAAAACAAAAAAAAAACAAACTTTTGAATCCTTTTAAAAAAATTTGCCAAGAAAGCGCTACATGTTTCAAAAACTAAGTTTCTATTCGAAATGTTGGGTTAAATTTAAGTTTTTAACGTCATTAATGAAAACATTCCCTATTACAACACCCACTACCCCCTCGCTCGCTTTAATAGCTAAAATTACGACGAAGCAAAAAAAAATCGCAGATTATTCTCAAAAAAATGTATTGAAAATTTTTTCAAATCGTTCGTTTCACAACTGAAGACTTTTTAGTCTGATGTATCAAAAAATCCATTCTGATGATTAGTTGAGGTATCTGATTTTGAATGGACAAAATTTAACAGGCGAAGCTGAAAAAAACTTTTAAAAAATGGCAAAAAACTAGATCTATCAAAATGAATAAGGCTAGTTTTGAAACAAAACCATGCCAAGACAAAAGAAGGGGAAATAAACATCAGACGGGTTTGTACCCAGCAGTAACAAAGCTGAAAATAACTGCAAGATTTGCAGAAATCCTTTAAGCCGAAAAAAATCAACAAGACTCAAGACTTATGAAAAGTTATTAAGTCCACCTCGCCCTCAAAACACACAAACACTCAAAAACTTTACTTTCTCGTCAACTGAAACAATATGAGGACACTAAACCAATATAATATAGGCCGAAACCTATTGAGCCCAAGAAAGCCGAAAATTAAAAAAATTAAGGCTAATAAGAAGTCCACTCACTCTGAAATCACAGACACGCACACACAGACTTGTTTCGTTCGTCAAAAAACACAATAAGAGTCCAATAAGCCGATATAATATAGGCCGAAACCTATGATATCGAAAAAACAACAATTCAAAAAATGTTGTCATGAAAACCTATCATTTCTTTTAAGATTTTTAGCAACCCAGAGGTGAGAACAAAATAAATATTTCCGTTGAAACGACTCGAACTCAGTTTATTCGGCCGTTAAAAAACAGGTCGATATCAATTGGATAGCATAAAGTTTTTAAGCAAAAAAAAAACAAAACAGATAAAATATACGAAGTCAAGGTCATTCAAACAGGTATAAAAATTCTAAGATATAGCAACTAAGTCGACAGAACATAAGCAGACAAAAATGAGCCGACATTTTTTTTTTAAGCGGACTATTTCCCGTTTCAAAAAAACAGGTCCCGTCATATTCGAATCAATGACCTTTTCCATCCCAGCCGCATTCGTTACTTTGATACCAAGTATGACGGAGACGCAAAAAATTGAATTCATTATAAACTGAACCTAAATTTACCTTTTCTCACAAAGTTATTTACGGGAAAAAAGTCTAGTACCCGATTGCAATATCCTAGCTCATCGCTAGGGTAATTAACAAAAACGAATAAAAACAAGCCCGAAGAGATTTTTTTGTCAAATATCTTTTTAGGTAGAACAAATTGTACCACTTGACTTACCATACAACATCAACTTAAGACACGGCAATCTAACCGACAAAATTGAGACGAAAGCCGTGTTCGAAAAAGTTTTGAAAAAAGCATTACGATAATTTTCATACGTTTATCTCGATTTGCATAAGTTGATTATGAAGACAACATGTCAATTAAGACAATTGCCAGCGTTGATCTATTATCAGAACAGTTCTTACGCATCAGTAAGCTGAAAATAACTGAGCAGACACCAGTTGCGCCAAAAAAACTGTTGTCATTCGAGAGAAATTGCCGATTAACTTATCTCTTGAGATTGGTCTATGCTTCTCGATGAACCATTATGGTGGCGTCCCTCATGCTTGAAGGACCGAATGCTTGAAATTAATTTTAGCTTACTTTCAGCCAATCAGAATTGAGTATTCAAAATCTCAAAGTAAATCGCGAAAATCTCAAAGTCAGAAAATAAATCCAGGCCATTAGTGTTAATATTGACCGATTAGATAATAAGCAGATGAGTTTTCAAGAATGAAAAATTCTTACGATTTGGCTTCATTAATCTTGATGATTATCTGAGTTGTTTTGGGGTTGTAACCAGCAATTTGTAATATTTTTGATTATTGTCCACTGATTTAATACATTTTCTGTTAATATTGACTTCGATTTTGTGAGAAAGGCATTTAGCCAATAGAAATGCTTAGCGATTTTGATTGGTTGAAATTTTTCAAGCATTCGGTCCTTCAAGCATGAGAACCCTCCCCAACCATTATTACAACACTTAAGAAAACGCATCAAAGTGCTTGAATTCGAGCAGCAGTGCATTTTACAAACCTACTTCACCGGTATATTGATATAACAAATCGCCAAATAATTTTTTCATTTAGACTTAGTTTTGAAGCGATCGAGTGGATCAAATGACATTGAATTTTTCCCTGCTTTTCCGCGTTTTGCTGCTCGCTTTTCTTTTCGTTTTATTTTTATTTTCTCTTGAATATCTTTTCGACGCTGTTCTTCTTTTAAGCCGCTCTTTCTCTGCTCTTTTTTCATCGACTTGCTTCGTCCTTTCGCTTTCTTCTTCAAGTTTACTTGCAATGCCGGAGGTACATCCTTGTCTCGGATTTCAGTTTTCTCTTCCTTGTGAACCCTCAAAATTTGATTATTTTCCAAGGAAATCATTTCAGGTTGGATTTTATCCAATAGAGACTTAATTTCAGCCTCTTTACGCTGCTGAGTTGTGGCGAACGGGTTAACCTCTAAAGCATCAAAGTTCGGCTCTCCGGAACCTGGAACCAAAATACTTGACACACCTAACTGGTGCCCGATACCTAATACATCTTCATACGGGCAAAACTCAACATTTCCTATTTGACTTCTATGCAACCTATGAGTTAGGAACGGCTTCACAATAGAATCATCGCCACATGTGCCTTTGAAAATATCAACATTTCTGGGGAAAGCCGCTGCTAAAAGACCTTTCTGACTAAAATCTAAACTCCGAGCACTCACATTCAATTTATAGGAGTGCACTGGAGCGAAAGTTCTCAGGTCAAAAATTCTCAATCTTCTATCGATGCCACATGTAGCTAAATAATTCCCACTTTTATCAATGGCCATCGTTGCAATGGCTGATCTATGGCATGCCATTTTCACCAACGGTTTATTCGAGCTAGGCGCCCATAAATTCACAACTCCGTTCGGATGCGCTGAGAAAATTACAGCATTCTGAGGATTATGTATTATTTCTCTGACACCTTTTAGCCCCGTTGACAGTGTTGAAACCACTTTACCCATCGAGACATCAAGGTATGATAGGAATCCAAGGTCATTCATAGTAGCTAGTAAGAAATGATAGGGTAAAAACTGCATGGACTTCACTCTGTCTAGCTGTCTTAAAGCATGCAGCTCAACTCCCGCTCTGTCATAGATATAAACCCATCTTTTCTGAGCAACTGCAAACATGTTTTCATTATGCAGCCAACAGATATCATTTACTGTTTCCATTACATTAATTTCGGAGCAAAGGGACTTTTTATTCCAGTCAAAAGCAGCAATATGACCCATTTTGCCTCCGATTAGAAGATACCTTCCATTTCTTGTGTAACTAACCTTATAAGGTCCGAACTGTTTCAAGGAAAGGTCAAATCGCTTTTCGGCATTGGTTATGTCGACATTCCTCTGAATCGTATCTTGATCTAAGCTAGGCAACTCTTCGTCTTCAGCTTCAATATAACCCGGTTGTTCGGATAAAAACAAATCCATTTTAGCCGCTTTTTCCACAGCTTCGCTCATCCGAGTTTCTTGTTTTTCCAATTCGTGTTTAACCTTGGCCTGTTTTATGTGACTACTTGAAAATTTACTTCCCTTTTCATACTGCTGCAAAACCTTTTCTGGAATCTCCATTTTTGATGGTAAGTCTTCAGATTCTTTAGTTTTGGGACTCTTCGTTTTTGAGACGCTTCGTTGTTTGGAAGACTGTTTTTTAGCGATTAGAGGATCTTCAAATGGTTTTTGTGGTCCACAGAAAAACATTCCCTCAGTATCAATATGAACACTTTTTGATCTTCTTGACTCTTTTGAGTCCTTATTTTTGACCCCTGAATCTGTGAGGTTACTTTTAACATTATTACCTGATTTTCGGAGGCGGCTTTCAGGGCGCGACACTAGATTTGATTTTCGTTTTCGCTTTTCCGGAAGCTGGATATTTGTACACATCACGGTAGAAGTTGTTGAGATCGTTTTAGAATTAATTTCTCCTTCACTGTCAGAAGGGATCTCCATTGTCAAGTCTTTCTCAGCTTCTTCACTTTCATCTTCATGAACAATGGACTCATCGTCTGACGGAATTGGCCTAAGAACTGGATCCTGATCAGCATCGTATTCAGTTGGAAGCGCTGGTTCTCCCTCTCCCAACCGATCGATGAAGAAGCTCATAATACCCTGAAAAATTATTCCTGCTTCATTTCTGCTATTTTCCCATCAAAAACATTCAATTATTAGTTGATAGACCTTTTAGTTTGGAAAACAGAGGTTTGGACAGAGTTAAATGTTTAATTTTTCTTAAATGGATAAAACTAAGTTGCAAACTCTAAACTCTTTAGCAATAGTACCGAAACGATCTGATCATCTAGCTAGAGGGGCTCGATAGGAGAGGAGAGGGGGAGAGAAAGAGGGGGCTAAGGCTGGATGGAAGTCTGAGAAGTTAAAGCACATCTCCCCCTCTGTATAAAAGCTTAAAGAGATATCATAAAATACAGTCATGATAATAGAAGAACTAAAATTTTACAATATGCCGCGTAGTCATATCACGTATTTACCCCCCAAATGAACGCCGTATAGTTTGACCGGTAGTTCTTTATTCAATCCAAGATGACTTTTGAGTTCGTCGACTTTGACATCAAAATAGAATTAACGGTCTTTTCCTTTGTTTTAGGATTAGAATGGATTATTAAAGGCAAAAGTGTTCAAGCTCAAGTATACAATACTTCAAAAGCGAAGAGAATGAGACTGGGTGTTACGTGGTACACAGAATAAGCAGATATTAATTATGAACCAGATTTAGAACGTTTGATTATGCACCAGAGCGGCTAAGGTGATCGGTCACGGCACAAGAGCGAACACATCAAAAGGTGAAAGAGGGGGTGGGTATGGTGTTGATCTTAAGTCGGTCGCATGATGGCATTGAGGGTAAAGGTATGTCTGCATTATTCGAAGAGGCTTCAAGGTGCGCAGCAACGAAATAAAAGGAACTGGATTCAGCTGGTATTTATCGAGTTAAGTCAGGAAAATTTATACCAAAATGTCGAACTATTAGACTGTAATTTTCCTCAAATCAGACATCGCACGAATTGATGGAAAAAAATAATTCTCGATTATTTTGAAAGCATAACAATCCTGCTTCTAACTTTTTTCAAACACTGCTCTTGCTCATGGTTAAGTATGGAGAGTTGACGAAAAAGACTGATACTTAAACTTCCATGAACATTGGGTGTAAGTTCACAAAGATATAATTTAGGAGTCTATAAATCCCTCAGGTTCAGATATAAGTTCTCCTGACTTTCGCGGTCTTTGGCTAAAACCTTCTACGAAGCAACCAATGAAAATCAGGTTTTTTCAATTTAGTGAGTTAAGAAATTGTCGGTCCAAACAAATTATTTCAAATACTGAGCCATTCGGTAGAAAAAACGTTCTTAATATCTCAGCCGATAAAAAAAACTTCTCAGTTTAAACAGTTTTGTGATAATTAGCACCATACACGATGTCAATTATTATATTTAGCACAACAACTACCAATCTTTTCTTTGAATTATAGATTCAATTTTTCAGTATTTTTTTCTGAATGGAAAGTTGGTTGAAAATATTGTCTTAAAATTTGTCCAGTAAACTAAGTGAAGACTAAAATTTGAATTTCTAACTGACGAGACTTTACGCTACACCTGTAGAGTAACGCTCATTTAAATTTCAATAACGACAATAAAAATCTATAATTTAAGCACCAATTTAATCAAAGGCAATAATATCTATTACATTTAATATCAGTGAAAACAGAGCTTGCAAAAAACGCCCAAAAATAATATGGATAAAGTTTGGGATGGCTTGAAAACTTGAAAAATGGCAGCGAAGAAGCAAAAATGATGAGACGTTATCGATGCTCGGAGTTTGTTTCACACTTAAGGTTTTCTTCACCCAGCGTCAGTATATGAATGTTTGTTGGTTGTGTAGCAGAAAACAGATGAGCAGTTAGCTTCGAGAAGAGATTGGAAAAGTGTCTGAGTTTGAGTTGATTGATATTCAGCGGACGTTAGCTAGGGTCGCCCTCTATCTGCTATCGCAGGTATCCCTCTAAAGCAATAAGTAGATTTAACTTCAATAAAGTACAGCTCCAAATACTGCAGTAAAGTCAGACGTGTGATAGAAATCAATCCAGAAATTAAATGCATACAACTTGAGAATATTGCGTATTCCGATTGTCTAATTTTAACTTTCCCTCAGACGCAGAGCGTAGTTTTGCACTACCTGCGATATAAACAAATATAACACCGAAGCTAACCGATACAAATGATCCACTAAATAGGAAAACTTTTTTGAAAAAATGTCAAAAAACCGCATCTACCGACTTTGCATTGAAACAAAACTTACACAGAGGCGAAGCTTCGCTTGGCTTCGCACTGATATCAAGCACTTGCGAAAACACGACAAAAAACAGCTCTATAAAGTTCAATAATAAAAATTAGAAAAAAGCCTCGAATTAGTAAAAATATATACTGAATTGTTCATTGAAAAAATCTCAACTTTAGATTTTGCAAAAAAATAGATGGCCTTAAATCTGTGAAATTCTAGAACAATTTCTGATTGACACTTTTTACAATAAAACTAACACAATTTGAGAAAACTGGATCAAAGGTAGAATTTTCGTTTCGCTGGGAAATCTGATGAATAATTTCCATTTTTGATACTAGAAGTCAATCACGTTTTTTGTGACCTTCACACTTTCGGTGTTCGATAGACTGTAGTTTGCCTTCCTTTTAACAAATGAAATTAAGTGAACTTCAAAAGAAGTCAAACTGCGAAAAAGAAAACTTGAGTTTGAAAATTTAAGACTTTCCCTGGAAAACGGAAAAAATCCTCGCGACGTATACGGAAAAATATAAGAGTCTGAGCTCCAGCATGGTATCATATGAAATCGATTTATTCTGATTCGGATTCAAAAAAATAGTTCAGTATGGAGAAACGTATGAAGAAACTTTCAAAGCTACTTAAGCTACAACTTTCACATTTTTGCAGATTAATATCCAATAAAATCCTTCTTCTCGCACAGCTTTGACACAACAAATGAAACTTTCTAAAAAAAGAGCCAAGCTTCGCAAAGTTTTCCTTGTTCTCGGACTTCATTGTGTTACGAATAATAGATCTAATTACTACCAGATCAACATACAAAGCAGTACGTTGCAACTACTTCGTTCAACTTTCTCCTACCTAGACGCCCTTAGATAAATTACACAGAGGCGAACTCGCAAACTTTCAAGCACAAGCGAGAAAGCGGCAAAAACTCAGGAGCTTTAAAATGCACGAAAACTCAAATGTTGCAGGTAAAAAATTGGAATATGATACGCTTAAGGCAACCACAATAACTTGGCATTTAAAATTAGGATGTATTATTCCAAATTGCATACACAGAGGTGTAGCTGAGCTTCGCACCACTTGCGATACAACTAGCTCTATCAAAATGAATGAAGATAGTTGTGAAAACAAAATGCACAAACAATAGTATGTAAAACCAGCATCGGAACAAAATTTACCAAGCGGTGACAAAGCCAAAAATACCTGAGCAGAAACTTTTTTCGTAAAGAAAAACATTTGCACGTCCCCCCTTCCTCTCTCAACACAGGTGAAATTTCAACAAACCGAGTGGCAACACAGAGGCGAAGCGGAGCTTCGCTTCACTTGCGATACCACAATAATGGCATTGCAAGCTAGCAAAAGGAGAGCCAGTCATAAAACAAAAAATTTCTTAGAAATCACAGTAAAAAAACTTCAAAACGTTGTCTGGAATGATGTTCTATTTGCTGAAAATACGTTCCAAAAACACTATCAGCGGCGTTAAATGAAATTTCGAAAACAACTATTGAGCGAAAACGAAATTATTAAAAAAAAAACTTTGATTTATAAATTTGATTCTGAGGTTTTTAACGTTTTGTTCAACCCGGAGGAAAGCATACAAACTAGGTTAGTAAGCCGTGAGATATAAGCCGACAAAATTTAGGCGGAAACATGTTTAAGCGAAAAAAAGGCCAAAATTAGGTTAGTAAGCCAATAAATATAAGCTGAAATAATTAAGGCCGAAACAATTATTAAGCGAAAAAAAAAGGAAAATATACGTCAATATAAGTTACTAGAATTACAAATTGTAGAAGTGAATGCAAACATAAAAAGCAACTACAATGAAAACTACCTGAAGCAAAAATTCTTAAGATGTGCCGACAACAAGTAGCCAAACAAATTCTTTGAAACGGAATATTAAAAAAAAACAGGACATGGTCAGATTCGAACCCAGGACCTTTGCCATCCCAGGCTATTCGTTACCTCCAGATTAAGTGTGCCGGAATCACTTAATAATTTGATTTCAATGTGAACCAAGATACGAGTGATTCTGTTAAAAAAGTGGTTAACCCAAAAAAAAGTCTACATTCCGATTTGATAACGCTTGCTATTCGTAAAAACACAAACAACTTGCTGAGAAAAAATAGGCCGAAATAATTAGGGCAGAATAAAGTTTTTAAGCGAAACGAAAAAAACAAAGAAAATACGAAGTGGAGGCAAGAAAGATTACAATTGCAGGGGGAAATCAAGCACTAAATCAACATTAGAGAGTGTGCGCAGCAAAAAAAAACAATTCCAAGATGTGGCAACTAAGCCGACAAAAGATAAGCAGACAATTAATTGGTCGACAATTATATTTAAAACAGAATATTTCCCGTTTGAAAAAAAAAACAAATTCAGGCCAGATTCCAACCTAGGACCTTTGCCCTCCCATGTGCATACCTCCAGACTAAGTGGACCCGGAACTCTAAGACATTTGAGTTAATTATGAAACAAGGTACTACTAGAGACGAGCCCAGATGAGTCCTGTGATTAAATTTATTTACGGTAAAAAAAAAGACTGGTACCCGATTGCAACACCCTTGTTTATCGCAAGGGCAATAAATTATGCATTTTGAACATCTCGCTAACTATTTCGATGGAAAATTTCGGAAATTGTATTTTAATTACTCAACTGTTGTATGAAACAAATAGCTTTTCTGATTCAGTTGACGAATTAAGAAAGCATCAATTAAGTTAAATTATTACTAATCAGATGTCAACGCACATAATATTACAGTGCGAATGAATCCTACAGATTCAAACAGTAGCTTTTTTATTTGCGAATTAGGTTGGAAAAAAAGTTGCATCGTTCTATCACACTGCGCTACGTTCGTGTAATAAACTGCCGTCCATTACGAGTCGACGCTGGTTACGAATTTTTGCTTTATATTTTCCTGATTAATCACGTGGACAGAGGAAAGTTTAGAGTACGGAAGAACCTTTTTTGTTTACTTCCAAATGGGTTTGTTAGTACTAGTGCTGTGGTCAGGCGTTTTAATCACTCTGTGGCCTACAAAAACAAAAGAGATAATTGTGCCATTAAGGTCTGGTTAGCAATTAATCTTTTCTTTAATGCTAAACGGACTTTGCTTCAGGGATACTCCTGGTGACGCGCTCACTAGTGCCGGGCTTTCGGCGGCCAAGCGGGCGGCCGGTGTTCTACGGTTACTTGTCCTACCAGGCGATTTGGCCAGTTTCCTCGCTCCATGGTGATCGTGGTGGTGATTGGTGCCTCCCTTAGCCTTGGAGATCGACACTCCGCCGTTCTGTGTGTTGTCCTTTTTGAATGTCGACCAGTCGTAAATAAAATCGTACTGGTGGTTGTTCATGCGGAACAGCACTCGGAAAAGCTGTCGTAAGTACATGTAGTCGGGGTCTTCGGCAAATTTGAGACCCTTGCAGTAGTTCAGATACATTCCGAACTCTCCAGGAAAACCCTAAAATTGAAGTAAGCTGTATTTCTGAAGATTTAAGCAAATCGTATACTTCACCGTGCTCAATTCGGTTTTATCACAATCATACGTTCTTTTACAAGCAGTTGCTTTTACAAAAACGTATCAGAAAAAAAAATATTTAATTTGACTAATTCGGCGAATAATTTTGCCAAAATAATTTTCTTCAAACTGATATTGCCGATATCTACGGTAAAAATAGCGAACAGAAAGCTGGAGAAGTGCCACTGCACTCTAATAATATTCACCGCTGGGAAATTTAAAAATTGAAATTCACTTTTGAAACTAGAAGTCTTTTACGTTTTTTCACGCTACTTGTACTATTTTCAGCAAGAAATTGAATTGAACTTTAAAATAAATCGCAAGTCAAACCGCTTAAAATCAAATTTTAGCATGAACATCTTACTTTTAACTGAAAAAAGCCACACGACCCAAATAAAAGCCTTCACTTGGTTCATTTACAGTTTAAAACACTCACTTTGGTGAGAACTTCAACAGTGGTGTCTAGCTTTTTCTGTGATATCCTCTCGTATTTCTGCTTCTTAGTCGCCGCCTTCAGTCCTTGCCAGGGCAAACTGCCCCGCATGAAGTACATGATGACATAGCCCAGAGACTCCAGATCGTCTCTTCTGCTCTGTTCAATTCCCAAGTGCGCGTTCACACTCGCGTATCGAGCAGTGCCCGTGAGGTTTTTGTCTTCTCGATATGCGATGTGGACTTTTAATCTGGCATCCCTGTACCGCTTGGCCAATCCAAAATCAATTATATACAGTTTATTACAGTACTTCCCGATACCCATCACGTAGTTTTCCGGCTTCATATCTCTGTGTATGAAAGATCGACTATGAACATGCTCAACACGCCCTATCATCTAAAATCAAACCAAAAGATTCGAGCATCAAACCTATCAAGAAAGTCGAGGATGACTCGAGAACTGCACAAATTTTTGCGTTTCAGAAAAATAGCCACCGGTTGCTGAACGAACGGCGAAGCTACCCATTCTACCCACACTACGTAAAAAACTTACTACTTTTGAACAAAAGAGCCGACAATTGCTGAGCAATTGGCACATACTGCTTCGATTACAAATATCGTTCTATATGAAATATTTTGATGGGTTGTTTTTCTAATTTTATAGAAAAGCACTGTCATCAGATGGACTTGATAAATTTTAAATAGTACTGTTGGATAAAGTAGATAGACATACCTGGTCAACTATCATAAGCACCGTTTTTAAGGAAAATTTTCTTTGGCAGAAATTGAAGAGATCTTCTAAATTTGGCCCCAGAAGATCCATTACAAGCACGTTGAATTCTTTTTCTTGTCCGAACCATCTAAAAATTCAAAAATGAATAAAACATTTTCTAAGATTTTTTTTATTAACTACGAACCAGATCAACTAACTTTACAGAGGGAATTCCGGTTCCTCCTTGCAGAACTTTGTATATTTTAGCTTCTGAGTTTAGCTGAGGATGACGTGCCTTTATAGGTTCGAGTTTAACAGCGACTTCCTTAAATGCATCACTGGTAAAAAAAAAAATTAGAACGATGATGCAATTAACAAGATAATTGCGGTAATAAAAGTGGTCAAGATAATTCTAAGGATGGTTTTCCCCATAAAAAGATTTCGTGAATAGAAAGATGGACAAAAAACATGAAAACACTTTACCTCGCCGCTGTTGATGTTAACTGCTTGATAAATATCACCAAAAGATCCACTACCCAATTTATGTTGCAGTCTGTACTTAGATCCAACAACCATAGCACTGATCTGCGATTTCGAGTTAGCACTCGTATCCCCCATGTTGGAGGCCAATTAAATTTTAATAAGAATGTAACACTCGAATTAAATACAGTTTAAGGTCGTGAGCTTAGTTAAACGATTTAAGAATGGCGAACACTCAGGCATCAAGATGAATCATTACTGCAACACCATCAGTTAACACAGCACATCCCTGAAAGCAAATAAAGTCTGTCATTGTGAAGGAAATACGCTAACTTCATTTCGTCAAAGATGAAATATACAATTTGGAAACTTCAATTCTTAGCCTGTTCAGAAGAATTAAAGCAACTGGCCATAGATAAATACTTTAATTTACCACCTGAGCAGTCAGTATTGTTGAATAAGTTCAAGGTGGTGTTTTAAGGGCACTTAAGATACTTGAACAAATGTCAAATTGATACGATTACATCATATTCAAGAGCTTTAAAAAAAGATGTCAAAAATCTTTCCGAATAACTCGTGTCTATCGCAGGCTTAAGCACATATGAAAAAAGTGACGCACTTGCGGTACAATACAAGAAAACATTTATCGAAAAAATAGAAAATCGAAAAAATAGATATATCAAAATGAATAGAGCTTATTTTGAAAAAACATGCCGAAACCAGATAATGTGAAATTGTCATCCGAAAAAAACGTCGGAAACACCTGAGCAGAGGCCCTTTGAGCCGAAAAAGAATCACTAAGTCTTAAGATTTAATAAAAGTCCTTATTTATTTAAAGCACACCTAATATATTTAAATTTTCAAGCAAGTGAGCATGTCAGCAGTGAAATGTACCATTCCTAATGAATTGGCTTTTCTGTAATTAACCGTTATGACTTATTGGCCAATTTGGGCGGTTGTTAATGATATCTTTCGAGGCTATTGGTACAATTGTGGTAGACTGCTTCGGAAATGCAAGTGATGAAGGGCTGCTGCGTTTCACTAAGCATACGATAAGACAGATATGCCCAGTCATAGGGCAAATAGCACGGAATCCGAGCCGGCATATTCGCTGAAGAAACAGAAGCAATGCGGAGCTGCACACCACTCCCATACAAATAACAAAACTATGGCATACTGAGCAAGCATACAGATAATGAATCGCAATCCTTCAAGTCAAAAAAAAGTTTTGAATGAAATCGCAGAAGAGTACCGAAACTTTCAACAGTTTGTCTCAATTTGCATTGTGCCAGTCGGTCATATTTGGAAGTTTGACCTTGAGAGAAGCAAAAAGCACTTGATTTTGGAGTGAAATTTAATTTTTCAAAAATTCGAATGGAGCCTGTCATGCACGATTTTCTCGCGATAACTGAAAGTCAAAAAAGAGAAGTAAGAACAATCCAGTGACAATCGCGGGAAAGTTGCAAGATAAATCAGTAGATAATAATCTAGAGTAGAGCTGTCCCATTCGAAACAGAGACAAGTGTATTCCCACGAACTGGATTATTGTGACTTGACTGGAGTGTTATTCTAAACTGGACTAGAGTGAACCTTCGGTGGAAAGGTGGACAGCTTGAGTGTCCCAATGGTTCACGAGAAACTACAGTCTAGAGTACAAACTTGTTCTTGTTGTTAAAACTGACAAACATTAAACTCATTTTAGTTACATTATTTAACTCTCGAGTTGATTACCGAATTGATTACTCCCAATTCTTGAGCGTGCTACAATGTGAGTACCAATTTAAATTTCTAGAGTGTGTTTTATAATTGTTATGTTGAGGTAAGGCGAGTTTTAGGTTGATCCATCTGAAATGGATCAAAGTTCCACTGTCTAATAAAAAGTAATTTAACGGATTGTTCCGACCCGGTTTTTAATGGCGTTCATGTATTTTGGGTATCTAGAGACCTAAGTATGGGGACGTTCTTAATTCTAGAGTGGGGGGATATTTTAGTAGTAGCCTTTAAGCTGTAACGGGTCGTAGTCTCATGTCACAAACGAACCGAATTGGCTCCGACTGATTTGAGGTAGAAAAACACAATAGATAGTGTCCCTGACTCTTGAGCCAATGGTTATAGGGCCTATTTTTCTTAAGCCTCATGTGTGAGTGCAGTAGACGAATGTTACATAGTGTTTTTATGGCGCTCCTGGGTGTTTACGACATCAAGACTACGGAGACGAACCCACTTGAGACAGCTTCGGGCTGAATGCCCATTCTAGAGTACCGGCGGTGCGGTTCGACAGGAACGTGCAAACCTTCCGGTTGTACCGTGATAGCTTTTTAAGAAAACTCGAGAAAACTTCCTGGTACGCTCTCCGAACGAGGCATAGCTAACCGAGTAAAGGGGGGCAACTAGGGGGACAAAACCACGAGCAAAAAGACAATAAGCAAAACAAAAACCAAAAAAGAATAGAAAAAGGAACAAAAACCATAAAACGAAAAAAGACAGTGACTTTGACACCAGATTAGTTGGATCAAACCTTTATATTAATTAAATAGTATACCCATACTGTTTTACAAGTTCGATCGTTTCGATCAACCTAGTAATTTAACCCAGTAACCTTAATAAAGAGCCCGAGTGTGGGGCGTTGTCAAGGGTTTTCAGATAGCTTGGAACTTAGCTGGACAACAAGGAGACTTGACTGGAAGAGGTGACCAGCCGAGTGGGAAAGTGGTTCAGGAGCACTTGAGCTGAACCAATAGGAGACTCGACTGGAAAAGGTGACCGGCCGAGTGGGAAAGTGGTTCAGGAGCACTTGAGCTGAACCAATAGGAGACTCGACTGGAAGAGGTGACCGGCCGAGTGGGAAAGTGGTTCAGGAACACTTGAGCTGAACCAATAGGAGACTGGACTGGAACAGGTGACCAGTCGAGTGGGAAAGCAGCCAAGAAGGATTTGGCAGATCTAGAGTTCGCAAGTTGGGCAGAACGGGTATCGTTAAAATCCAAATTACATTATAGGAGATAAGTGTAAAATTGGATAAGCGAAATCCCCCGGTTTTGAGGAACGTTTTTACTTAAGCAGGCCTGGAAACAGGTCAGGTCTACGGTTTTCTCTTGAGAGGTTTAGCACCCGGCGCTTAAGGTAACTTTTAGGCTTAAGAAGGGGGGCTAGAAAGGGGGGAGGTTAGAAGGGGGGCTGGTTAAGTTAGAGGTTGGCGGTTGTAAATTGTAAAAAGGGGGAAAATTAGAGTAACTAATTAGTCGACATCGTTGATTTAGTTACATTAGTCATTTACACGCGTTGGTCATAGGAAGCGGATATCCAAAATTGGAATTAGGTTAAGGTAGGTACCCTGGTCGGATCGGTAGGGGGGAACGGACAAAGACAGTTTTTGCGATACCCCATAAGATCGCTAGCAGGGGGGGAAGGAAACGCGTGGCAATTAGGTACCAGACATTTTTTCGATAGAAGGTAGACATTTGTCACCTTTGAATTTTAGGTGGATTCATCTTTCTGTTTTTATTACTTTTCCTAGCTTGGATTTTTGTTGCATTTTGGTGAGGATTTGTGTTTAGTTTTTATACGAACAGGTGATCACAAGATACCTGCGCACAGGTTTTGGTCTCAAGTTGCTTGGAACATTGAAAGAGAGGTAATTAAAAAGAAATAAGAAAAAGGGGGGTCAGCATTTGGCTTTTAAGAGAGGGTTTTTGGGAAAATTTTACTAGAGCTTGAGTGGTGGTACAAGGTACAGTGAATCAAGAAGTCCCCATAACGAAGAAGAAAGAGGTCCCACCGCTCAGACATTTGTCAACAGTCTTGGGACAGTGCCAAAGAAGTCTTGGGACAGAGCAGTCTGGGGACAGTCTTGGGACAGTGCAGTCCTGGGACAGTGTTGGACCAAAACAGTCTTGATACAGTCTTGGGACAGTGGTCTTGGGACAGTGGTCTTGGGACAGTGGTCTTGGGACAGTGGTCTTGGGACAGTGGTCTTGGGACAGTGGTCTTGGGACAGTGGTCTTGGGACAGTGGTCTTGGGACAAGGGTCTTGGGACAGGGTCTTGGGACAGTGGTCTTGGGACAGTGGTCTTGGGACAAGGGTGTTGGGACAGGGTCTTGGGGCAAGGGTCTTGGGACAGTGGTCTTGGGACAGTGGTCTTGGGACAAGGGTCTTGGGACAGGGTCTTGGGACAGTGGTCTTGGGACAGTGGTCTTGGGACAGTGGTCTTGGGACACTAGCCTTGGGATAGTAGTCTTGGGACAGTAGTCTTGGGACACTAGCCTTGGGACGGTAGTCTTGGGACACTAGCCTTGGGACAGTAGTCTTGGGACACTAGCCTTGAGACACTAGCCTTGGGACAGTAGCCTTGAGACACTAGCCTTGGGACAGTAGTCTTGGGACACTAGCCTTGGGACAGTGGTCTTGGGACACTAGTCTTGGGACACTAGCCTTGGGACAGTAGTCTTGGGACACTAGTCTTGGGACACTAGCCTTGGGACAGTAGCCTTGGGATAGTACTCTCAGGACAAGGGTCTTGGGACACTGACGAAGTATTGGGACAGTACCGAACAGTCTTGGGACAGTAGAAAGAAGCCTGGGACGGTACAACGAAGAGTAGGGACGGTAACTGGAAGTCTTAGGACGGTATAAAAATTGAAGTAAAATTACAATAAGTGTTTGAGACAGATTTAAAACAGAACAACACTAGTCGGAACCCGGTGCGGTTGGGACCACAAATAAAGAAAGTTTCAAGAAAGGTTTTTATCACGTTGTATATTTCCTTTTGAGAATTCTTTTTCACAAAAGATTTTATTCGTAGAATAGAAATGTGTATATAATAATATTGTAAATACGATCAATTGTAAATAGAAATAATGAGACGGAGTAGGGTACCGGTGCTAGAAAAAAGGTCAAGCGGATCAAACACGAAATATAACTCGTCGCTGCGCGGAACGACGTCAAGGGGCCCAGGCAAAACAAAAGATAACTTTTCGGTTAGCATGGTCAGCACGAGGAGTGGCACCGAGAGCAAGACGCGAGAAGATGCGAGGGGAAAACAGGTGGAGCCCACAATCGAAATCGACCTAGAGACACCAGACCAGAGCGTAGATGAAGTGGAGAAAAAGACAACGGAATCCACACCGATGTCCCATATGGAAGATCAAAATCCAAAAACCGTGGAGTTTTCGCCGATAGACGCGTTGGAAGACACAACAGGCAATACCCGAGAAACGGTGAAAGATGACTCTCAAGTAAAGAAGACATCTTTTACAGAAAAGTTGGCGATGATGGTCGGAATGAAATCGAAAGACAACACGGCCGAAGAGTCACAGACTGGAAAAGCACGAACATTTGGGACAGTGAGCACGAAGGCGACAGAAGCCGACCCAAAGGAAGAACAAGCCAGAACAGAAGAAGCAGCCGAAAACAAGACAACGGCTGTTCATGAAACAGCTGCTCTTGAGCTTGGCGACCTGATGACGAAGCTAAATCAGATCGACAAAAAAACTAAAGTATAGTGAGGAAGATAGAAACCTGATAAAGAA